GAATTGCAGTTGTCCCCTCAGCGATCAAGACCAGGATGTGTACTTGCAGCAGGTGTTTACTTTTTTGTTTCAAGCAATTTTTTGAACATATTTCAGGCCTTTCTTTTCGCATGAAGGGCATTTTTCACGTTCCTCTTTTGACGCAAAATGTTATTTTTTTGCAAAAGTTAGATTCAAAAAAATGATAAATCGGAATAACTTTCACGCTTGTTTCTTCTTTTACCGGAAACTGAATACGCACCATTGCGCTTCCGTCTGTAGCCTATTAAATTAGATAGGCTCTTCATTATCGAAACAAATTAAAGAATTCTCAAGTACAGGTTAGAAACAAACCAAAATAACAGAAATGAGGAAAAATTAGCTTGAGAGAGAAGAGAAGGCACAGAAGCAAATTTTTGTTTGTTGTATCCTCCACAGTGTGTCAAAAGGAGAAACGCTACAAACAAAATCGTTAGGGAACAATGCTCCTTATGACAGCGTGTTTGCGTAGTCGAAGTAAAAATAATGTAGGCAAACATAACTGCGGGAGTGCAACAGTGTTCATTTGTTTATTTTTTAATATATGGTTTTTAACATTTTATATAAAGTTATTAATATCTTTATTAAACACAGTTATATTTTTTCATGGTTTCCTTGAAGCAAAATCAACAATTTCCTTATTCTGACTTTCCTTTTGGTAAAAGAAGCGTGATACTAATTTTTTCCTTAATGAATTGTGACCACTGCTTCTGTCTTGAAAATCGAATGTATTTTCAAAATTAATTACTTGTCTTACATTTAGATCGATGAAAACTCTGGTAACATTACTCGACATGGCATACTGGAACCAGGCCGTGTCTATAATCTTACAGTAATAGCGACCGATCGCGGCATCCCACCACTTTCAACCACCACATTTGCTTTCGTACATGTTGCTGCACAAAAGGATTGCATACCAAATTTCGAAACTTATCCAACTGGCAATATCGAAATTGATGATAATTCAGTGGGTGAAATGATCGCCGAAGTTCATGCTATCGCATGTGGGGCGGAAATACTGTATTCATTTAACTACGGTAACGCGAGCTACAGTATGCCCGGAAAGCCAGTGCTATTCTGGATGGATCCAGTTGATGGGAGTTTATTTTTGCTGAAATTTCCGGAAATGCATGTCGGACAACGAATTGAATTACTTATTACTGCGAAAACTCTGTCAGGAAACGCTACTGTACCTTTAGTAATTGTTGTGGCCGAAAAGAAAGAAGAGAATTCTGGACTAATTACCGAATCGCTAAGTATTCCGGTTAGAAATTCTACTTCAGTTTGTTTTTGTTTTCACTTTGGTTCAGTTTTTTAACAACCAATGGGTATTGCATATCAGTGAGTGATAAACAAATGCGGGAAAACTAACGGCTTCATCTATCCTAAGTAAAGAAGCTATCGCATAGTATAAGCTACATTGATTATTTGAAGACATTTAACTAAGGGCACAATTGCGCCTAACTTATTAGTAGTGCCAGTAACGCCGGATCTTTTCATCGACTGTTCGGACTATCGGCTTGCTGAAGTGAGAAAATGCCGTTGCTTAATGTATGACATCTGTATACTTTGAGTTTTTGACATACGTTAGAATGTATGCGGTAAATATGTGCTACAGAATCGACTTTCTGAGCTTGAGGTCCTGGTTTACCTTGGCTTTATTTGCGGTGTATTTAAATTTCTGAAAAAAATTTGCCACTTGACATGGCACAGC